CATTTAAGAGGAAAGGGGAAAAATCAAAGATGCTTTATTTGTGGGAAAAAAGGCATTTCTCAAAAGAATGTCCTAATAACACCCATAAAGCCGCAAAACTGATTAACTCTCTTCAGCCTCTAGAAGGAGACTTATAAATCTTTGTATTCTGAACAAAGTTCTACTGATGAAGAAACAATTTTTTCCCTTCAAGACTCTTCGTCTGATGAAGCATCATTTTTGGAGTCAGAAGATGACAAATATCTCCCGATTTACTCCATCAAAGAGATAGACAGTTCTCTTCCTACTACACCTCTTCCTTGTGTTGAAGTCCATGTTCTCGCAACAAATTTTTCACATCCGAAGAAAGTTATAGCTTATATGGACACTGGGGCCCAGATTACAATGATGAATCCCAACATTCTCCCCGTAGAATCATGGGTGACACATGCCGCATACTTTGTAGCAACGGATGGAAACGTTTTCAAGAAAAAGTTAATGACCAAGGAGAAAATAGGAATTAAATTCTTCCCAGACTGCATAGTCTGGACCAAGGTCATTGGCAGTAATCTTCCAAACAAAGATATTGTAGTAGGAATGGATGTCTATTCAGCAACAATTAAACTCCAAATTCTCCCCATAAGAATCAAATTCAAAAGAGAATTCAAACCTTATTCTGGGATACTGAAACTATATTCACTTTCTAAGATTCCTACTGACTATGAAGAGATAAAGTCCAACCTTCTCAGACTATGTGCGGACAACCATGAAAAATTCCGCCACCCAAAACCTCTCTGGAAGAATAAAGACTTCTTCGTTCAACTTCCCTTCAAACTCAATGAAGATGTTAATCCAACCAAGGTCACTCATCTAGGGATGAGTCCATCAAATTACGCATTAGCTAGGGAATAATGCAACCAACTGCTCAAACAAGGTCTGATAGAACCCACCAAATCGGAATGGGCTTGCCAAGCATTCTATGTAGAAAAAAATATCTGAAAAGTTGAGAGGAAAAAAATGGCTAGTAATTGATTACAAACTTCTAAATCATTTTCTCAAAGATGATAAATTTCCCATTCCAAAAGCCTCGTCCTTAAATGTTTTCATCAAAGATGCCCAGATGTATTCTAAGTTTGACCTTAAGTCAGGATTTTGGCAATTGGATATCGACCTTGAGGATCGCTACAAAATGATGTTCTGCATTCCTAACGCCCAGTACCAATAGACTGTGTTACCATCTGGGCTTAAGGTAGCCCCATCACTCTTTCAAAAGGCCATGACTAGAATTTTTGAGCCCATCCTCAACAATATCATCATCTATATTGATGATGCGTTATTGTTCTCAAAAGATGAAAAAACCCATAAACAATTATTGGGCCAATTTCTTCAAATAGCCCAACAACATTGAATGATGCTCTCTAAAAAGAAAAGTCAATTAGGACAAACAGAAATTGATTTCTTAGGGATGCATTTCTCCCAAGGGAAATATTAACCTTAGCCTCATATTGCCTAAGAACTATTAAACTTTCCTGATGAAAATCTCACATTTAAGCAAATCTAACAATTTCTTGGTATAATTAATTATATCAGAGATTTCCTGCCGAAACTGGCGAGATACACAAGTCCTTTATCCTAAATGCTCAAGAAAAAACCTCCACCATGGGAAACACAACAAACTAAAGCAGTTAAAGCTTTGAAGAAGATCACACAGACTCCTTTGGCCCTGAAAATCCCTAGAGATGGCAAAAGAATTCTACAGACAGATGCCAGTGATCACTATTGAGGAGAAGTCCTGATAGAAGAACTTGGAGGAAAAATATACTATTGTGGTCATGCCAGTGGCCAATTTAAAGAAGCTGAAAAACACTACCACACCACCTACAAAAAGGCCCTTGTCGTAAAAATGGGAATCCAAAAGTTTGACTTCCACCTAAGAGGCTACCAATTTAAAGTCCAAATGGGCAACTCCTCTTTCCCTAAGATCCTTGAATTCAAAAATAAAATGCCTCCTGATCCTCAAACTCTTAGGCTCAAAGATTGGTTTTCCAGATATGATTTCTCTGTAAAACATATCAAAGGAACCCAAAATGTAATCCCTGATATACTATCCGACCTATGAAACTCATCCAGATCATCACAACCAAACACACTTTCCCTCTAATTCTTATGGTCAAACCACTACCAACCCATGCATCCAAAATCAAGAATCTTCCTCAAAGAATAACAATATCCTCTTCATCGTCCCAACTCAAGCAGTATGCCAGGAACAATCTCTTCCATTACATGACAAAAATCATAAGGAATAAACTACCAGATCATAGTCCTTATTTCCCAGATACACCTTTTCTCCTACCAATTTTAATAAACCCAAATTCTAAATTCACAAAAAACCATTTGTGGTATATTTGGTGTGCCACCTGCTTGTATTACATGCCTATTCTTATTCCCACTGAGGCCATGTATCAACATCTAATGGATCCTGAGAACCACAAGTCTTTGATTTGGACCACTCTTGAATGGTATTCTCCATTACAATGGTGGAGAGATCAATTAAAACCAGTCATCGACGAGGTCAAGGAACGAAGATTATCTTCAGAAGATATTGGTAAACTCAATTCTGTTTTCTTTCTACACAGGCCCTATGTGATAGATCCTGTAACTAAGTTGCTCAATTGTAAGAGTTATGTTCACCTATGGGAAACCATTGATGAATATCCTCCCAGTCTAAAAATCACAAGGGAATTACTTGAGTATGTTAACTACATCAATCTCTATGATCCAAAGAAACTCGACGATAGTTCAACTTGCATACATCATGAAATGTTCAGAAGACCAGAAGTTGGAGAAAGCTCGACTCAAGTCACACAACATAAACTAGATTCTCCAATGGAAGTTGAATTATGTGAAGGACCGGTGGAAGAAACTAATATAAGGTTAGCGGATCACACCTACATGATGAATGATATCTGGCAGCATGAGTCATCTCGCTATGAAGATTGCTTTTCTGATGAAAATTTATCTGATCAGAATATATCCCCATTTCATGAACCAATTTGCAAAGACTAAATGGACAAGTGTCCTACAAAGATCACAAGCATGTTTATGAATAATAAAATTTTGTCTTTTGTGCAATAATGTAATCCATAAGTGATAAGTGTGTCGGACTTTTGAAAAATGCATTCATATAGTATTAAAAATGCTATGCTTGTAAATAGTGTTGCTTTTGTCCTATATGCACCTCCTTGACTATAAAAGGAGAGCTTTTGTAATATATTTTAATCAAGCATTCACAAATAAACTCTCTTATGTGTTTAAGAACAAACATGTTATAAAAATCTCTTCTTTCTCCCTCAAAGTTTTAGTTATTGTATTCATATCATAATTCCCCCTATATATGCAAGTATGCTCTACACCTGCCTCTAAATGAGGATCTTGTAAATCAGAAAACATCTGACCATTGATCCATACTACGGTCCCTGCTGTTATGAATTTCAATTTTAATTGTTAGTTTGTGTTATGCCTATGGTTGACTATTTGAAGACGATACAATTTTAATGAATTACTAACTACTCTAACAATTTTTTATGCATATATAACTTTTTACTAGCTCAAGTGTTTTTTGATGAACTATTTTTCTCAATTTAACTCATGCAATTTTATTGGTTAAAAGTTAATATTAATCAAACTAATAATTTTTATTATTTAATATTTATAAATTAATTAAATTAAAACATACTAATTGTGTTAAATATAATAAATTTATCAATTTCACCATAATATAAGTTTATTAATTTGATCGAATAAAATAAATTCAATAATGAATTTATCCTATATATACTTTTTGTGATAGAATGAACTCATTGTATATAACTTAACTTTAATCTCTCATTTTATTTATTTATTCTCTAAGAGATAACCTATAACACATTGGTCTATTTTGTCATTCTATATTCCTAAACTTTACATCATATGAGAATAGCTATCGAGGAAGAGTCCACAACCCTTTTATTATCTCCGTCCTAAATTATAAATTATTTTATAAAAAATATTTATTATAAATTATAAATCATTTTAAAATTCTAATATAATATTAATTACTTTTTTTTCTTTTTAATATATCCTTTATAATTTACTCAATCCGTTTTAAAATGACAGTCGTTTAAAATTTTTTCACACAGATTAAGAAATGCAATGATATTGCCATAAAATATTGCGTTTTTAATAAATTAATGTATTGAAAATAATATAAAGAGTAACAATTATATAACACAATTGAAAAAATAACAATTAATATTATATTGAAAATTAAAAATAACAACCATTTTGAAACAAAAATTTCCCCTAAAACGATAATCATTTTAAAATAGAGAGAGTCTTTCTCTTTCTTCTTTTTATTTCTTTAGTCCGATTTCTAATATAATTAATAAAAGACATTAAATTTATAAATCATTTCAATTTTTCATAAAATAATAATTGTATTTTTTAAACGGTATGAAATATCCAAAACGCCTAATAATTTGAGACGAAGAAAACAGTCCTAATGTCCTTGGCTTTTTATTTTTTATTTTTTTAATGACAAATGCTAAAGTAGCCCTATTATTACCTCATCCCCTACATCAATCCCAATTCTAATCATTATTATCTGATTATTATTATTATTAAACAAATTCCTTATATTTTTAAATTTTCTGATTTAGCCAGCTGTGATGTGAAGTTCCAAAATAAATTACTACTCTACCTGAATTTATTATTGCAATAAATAATTGAAGGAATTTGTTCAAATAAATAAATTAATTATTAAATGAACTAATAAATATATCGACGTTGTTCTGTTCATTCTTGGATTTTCTTCTTCTTCTTCTCCTTCTCTCTCTTTCTTCCATTCTCTTCTTCACGCTTCCGTCAGAGACACAGCAAAAAAACCAAACTCTCCCGCTACTTTTGCTACTACACCCTACTCATTCAACCTTCACCCCCACCCTCTATTCACCTTTACTCGCTCTCCTTTTTGCTTCACAACCATGTCTCAGACTAACTGGGAAGCTGATAAGATGCAAGTTTCAACCTTTCATTTCTTATTTTTCGTTTTATCAACCTAGCTTCTCTATTTCATACTCTTTTTTTACTTTCTTGATTTTTCTTTTATTCGGTTCTCTGCACTTTTATTTTATGTTTATCACGAATGCACACTTTTTAAATTTGTTTTTATGTTGTGTTTCTTAGGGTTTGAATTTTTCTGCAAGTTTCTTGTGTTTTACTAGAAATTGCTAATTTTGGCTGCTGAATTCAATTTTTGTATGCTTATTTTTTGATTGTCGGTGTAAAGTTTCAATTGTTATGCTGATGGTAGTTGAAATTTCAGGTTAGATGTTTACATCCATGATTATCTTGTTAAGAGGGACTTGAAGGTTTCTGCTCAGGCTTTTCAAACCGAGGGAAAAGTATCCTCGGACCCTGTTGGTAAGAAAAAACTAGGTTTAAATGTGTCATTTTATTTGTGTTTCTGCATTTTCTTCTTGTGTTTGTTAATTTTATTGACTTTGTTGGTTTGTTTTTGTGTGTGTGGTTGGTGGTAACATGTGGTTGCAGCTATTGATGCTCCTGGAGGTTTTCTGTTTGAGTGGTGGTCGGTTTTCTGGGACATATTTATTGCCAGGACTAATGAGAAGCACTCCGAGGTTGCTGCGTCGTATATAGAGGTTGGTTGGTTGGAAATCTTTCGTATTATATAGACCGTTGTTTTAGCCAAGTGATTAAGCAAGCCGTTTCAGTTTAGACAACTGTTTTTGTTTTTATCTTTTATAGCTAATCATCCTTTATCTTTGGTGGTGCCCTTGTTAAACTGATGGTGGAGTAGGAGCTACATTTTACTAAATTATTACAAGAGAAGATGAAATTTAGTTGTTATTGCTTTTAATTTTGGTCTGTGAAATTCTGTATATAGACTCAATGATGGTGGAGTAGGAGCTACATTTTACTAAATTATTACAAGAGAAGATGAAATTTAGTTGTTATTGCTTTTAATTTTGGTCTGTGAAATTCTGTATATAGACTCAGTTAGTTAAGGCAAGGGAGCAGCAGCAGCAGCAGCAACCTCAACCGCAGCAGTTGCAACATCAACATCAGCAGCAACAACACATGCAGATGCAACAACTTATGTTGCAGAGACATGCTCAACAACAGCAACAGCAGCAACAACATCAGCAACAACAACAGCCACAATCACAGCAGCAGCAGCAGCCGCAACCACAACAACAACAACAAAGTAGGGATAGGGCTCATCTCTTAAATGGTAGTGCAAATGGGTTAGGTGGAAACCCAGGCACTGCAAATGCAATAGCAACAAAAATGTATGAGGAAAGGTTAAAAGTACCCCTTCAGAGGGATTCTTTGGATGATGCAGCGATGAAGGTAGGGAAATGTTCTGCTTATCTAACTACAAGATGAATGCTTTTTTTTATAATACATATGTTCATTGCTTTATTTTGGTATGCTATACAGCAGAGATTTGGTGAGAACATGGGTCAACTCTTGGACCCAAGTCATGCCTCAATATTGAAGTCAGCTGCAACTTCTGGTCAGCCTTCAGGGTGAGGTTTTTTTTATTTTTATTTTTTATTTATTTTTTTTAACTTTATTTTTTTTGCTTAAAATGTAAGTTGTATGGACACAAAAGATAGTTTGTACTTTGATTATTTGTCTGTGGCTCTTCATTGAAGTTTCATCTGATATACTATGAGTTGAACACCACTTTATTAACGCGAAATAAAAGACATTCTTTTTATCATATAGGGGCCTATTTGGATTATATTGAGTTTAGCTACTAATATATAACACTTGTGAGAGGGTTTGAGAGAGCTTATAGAAACAATTTATGACACGTCCATAAGCTGTTTCCAACTTATTTCTTTAAGCTGTCCAAGATAGCTTATAAAAACAACTTATACGTTATATGAACATTTTGACTTGTTTATTTTTATGTTATAGAAATAGCTTATACATGAGCACTATATGACTAGCACTTATTGCTATAAGCTATTTATCCAAGCCAGGGCCATAATCTTCTGAACTGTACTTCTACCTTCGATAAATCAATGGTCATGTGTGTCGTATTTTAAAAATATTTTTTGGTGTTCAATTCTCTTACATTCTGCAATCTCGATATCTATGGGTGTTTACTTTGTTAGCACCAAATTTCTTGATTTCAGGCAAGTTTTGCATGGCGCTGCTGGTGGGATGTCTCCACAAGTTCAAGCTCGTAGTCAGCAATTACCAGGGTCTACAACGGTAACACCTTATTTCCTAGTTATATTGTTATTTCCTATATTCTATATCAGCTGCTTTCCCCCTGATTTTTCACTTGTAATCAGGATATGAAGAGTGATATAAATTCTGTTTTAAATCCCAGAGCTGCAGGTCCTGAAGGATCACTTTTAGGAATTTCTGGTATTTTTCCATAAGAGAGTTTGGGTTTTAATATTATATTAGTTGTGATCTTATATTTTTAATTCTTGTTTAATTGTAGTAAACCGTGCATTTTTTTTTTTCTTGTGCCAGGATCGAATCAAGGAAACAACAATTTGACTTTGAAAGGGTGGCCACTCACAGTATGTGATAATTTTATTTTTATTATTATTTCTACTTCTGACAGATATTATTTCGTAAACGTAACTTCTGAAGGGTGCATATGAAGTCTTTCACATGCATTGCCTTAATTGTTGTGAATGCACTTCAGTTGTGAAGTTTCCTTATTATGCCTTCCCGTCCTTTTATTAGGGTTTGGAGCATCTACGTTCGGGTCTACTCCAGCAACAAAAGCCTTTCATGCAGTCTCCTCAGCCTTTTCATCAACTACAAATGTTGACACCACAACATCAGCAACAACTTATGCTTGCACAACAGAATTTGACATCACCATCTGTAAGTGAAGAAAGTAGAAGGCTGAGAATGCTACTGAATAATAGGAATATTGGCCTAAATAAGGATGGTCTTTCGAACCCCGGGGCTGATGTGTTATCAAATGTTGGATCACCTCTTCATGGTGGCGGCCCTCCATTTCCTCGTGGAGATACAGATATGCTAATGAAGGTGCTGGTTCACTTTTAGTAATTATCTTTTCTTCTCCAGTTTAGTTATATAATTAGTTAAACAATTATATATAGAAATCTCTTATACCATTTACCAAACAATTCATGATTTGCATCTTCTGAAAGTGTTTTTTTTTTTGTATGTGTAGTTGAAACTGGCTCAGCTACAGCAGCAACAGCAGCAGCTTCAACAACAGTCGAGCATCAGTGCACAGCAGCAGCAACTTCAACAGCACACTCTTTCAAATCAGCAGTCTCAGACTTCAAATCATAGCATGCACCAGCAAGATAAAGTAGGGGGAGGTGGTGGTAGTGTCACCATGGACGGTAGCATGTCAAACTCATATAGAGGAAATGATCAGGTCAGTCCTTTTATAGCTGTCAATATCTCATACGTGTTTGATATTGTTTATTTTTGTTTGTTGCATTTAAAAGTGTGAAAACCATGATTTAAATGCACTTTGGTTCCTAATATGATTCTTTTAATACATTTCTAGGTTACAAAAAACCAGATTGGAAGAAAGAGAAAGCAGACTGTATCTTCTTCAGGTCCTGCAAATAGTTCAGGAACAGCAAATACAGCGGGTCCTTCACCAAGTTCAGCACCCTCAACACCCTCAACTCATACTCCTGGAGATGCTATGTCAATGCCTGCTTTGCCTCATAATGGCAATTCTTCGAAGCCTCTAATGATGTTCGGTACTGATGGCACCGGGACTCTTACATCACCTTCAAACCAGTTGGTGAGTTGCTTTTCTCATGGTCTGGTTGATGGAAGGAATGATTTCATTCCTTGCAAGTAGACTCATTACCATTCCATTTTGGCAGTGGGATGATAAGGATCTTGAATTGCAGGCTGATGTCGATCGCTTTGTGGATGATGGATCCCTAGATGAAAATGTAGAGTCTTTCTTATCGCCAGATGATGCAGACCCTAGAGATCATGTTGGCCGTTGTATGGATGTAAGCAAAGGTGCAGTAAACACCACTTCATATTCATATCTATGGAGCACAGATTCTGACACAGACAGACACTAACTGGACAAGACAAAAACGGACACGTTGACACTGCTAATGTGAAAACATAGGACATAGGCACCACTATATCTATGATAATATTTGGCCTTCATTTATCTACTACTGAAAAAATTAAAAATGTCTTGATCAAATTTAATTTCTTTAACTCTATTGATCAACATTGCTTTGATACATCTTTAACATTTTTAGATGTATTTGAGGTTTATCCAAGGAATGTATTAGGTGTATCAGAGCAAAGAAAGGATTTTTTTGAACATTTATCTGAATTGTTGTCATACAGGTGTCTGTCAACAATTCAATGAGTGTAGAAGCAAAGAAAAAACATTGTTTTAGAATACTTGTTGGAGTTTTCTGTCACATGTTGTACAAGTGTCATACAAGTGTTGGACACCGTTGCGTGTTGGACACCGCAACACTTAATTTTAGAGGTGTCCCTGCTTCATAGCTTTATATTGATCATAAAATATTCTTATTCTGACTTCATCCTTGCAATGAGTTTCTCATGTGTATGTCTAATTTGGAGAATGCTGAACAGTGTAAGAACAAATTCATGAAAAGTACGTGAGTGAGTTAGCAGCTTAAGTGGTCTCATTTTATTGTTTTTTGAATTTCAAACAATCTCACTCTAACTACATTATAACATAATCAGATACCACTGTTTCTACATGCGATGGAAGAGATATCATTGATCCAATCATTTCGAAACAGCAACATTGATGCGAATCTGATTTTTGGCAAACTATTTATAGCGGTGTGATCACGTAGTTGAAAAAAAATCAGCCGTGCAGAGAAAAGTGAATAGATATACAGTGCAAGCATTTATTCTGCAATACAAATTTAGACTTGGTTGTAATTTTTAATTTTTCATTTGAAAAGAAATCGATATCCTAAACTTATCCATCCAATTTGTTTTACATATTTGATGTCTATTGGGGTGCATCATTATTACCACAGCTTTAAAATGAAAAGAAGGGGTCAATCATTTATACCTACAATGGTAGTGAATATGGCAAGAATGATGGTTTGGCTGCTATTGTCACTATTTTGAAATACCTTGCTGCATGTGAAAGAAATTTTTATTATATATTTTTATTAAAAAAATAGCTATTAGTTGTGGGTATGCAGCTTTGCCTAAAAAAAGGTAACCAGTTTCTATGTGCAGTACACACCCTTCATGAGATTTCGTGAGGATGTTTTTCTTTTCTGCCACTCTAGTACACACGTTTGCACTATTCTCTTTAATTATTTGACGCAAGGCAATGGGAAAGATTCATAAGCTAAGGGAAGGGGACTCTTTTCAGGCTTCACATTTTCGGATGTAAATTCTGTACGTGCAAGCTCAAGCAAAGTTGCCTGTTGCCATTTCTCATCTGATGGAAAATTACTTGCAAGCGGTGGACATGACAAAAAGGTTAGGGGAATCATTAATTTTGTAAGACTATTCAGTATTGTACTTTCTGAAATTAGCATCAAACTTGTGCAATTGTCCTGCTTGAAGGATATTGAAAGAAAAGACCAGGAATTTTCTCTTTATTATGTTTAGATATGGAATAATGTTTTATTTCCATCCTGATTTTCCTATAATGCAGGCTGTTATATGGTACACTGATTCTCTAAAACAAAAAGCTACTCTTGAAGAACATTCATCTTTGATAACTGACGTCCGTTTCAGTCCAACCATGCCGCGTCTAGCAACATCTTCCTTTGACAAAACTGTCAGGGTTTGGGACGTTGACAATGTTAGTAGATTTCTTTACTGTTTTTCTTTAATAGTATTATCGCTTTTGGGAAATTATTTCTATTAAGCACTGACATAGACACAACACTGATATGTAGACTTCAGAAAATAACTATGTGTTTGTGCTACATAGATTGTTTCTATGTATTGTAAATATTACCATTTTGTGAAGTAACTTGCAAATCACAAAATGGTAATGTTTTTGCGAGGCTTGAGGCTTGAGGCTTGAAGCATGGCACTCTGAGAAGTTAGAAAAATATATTGATATATCTATCTTTTGCTGAAGTGATTTTACTTAATGAGATAACAAAACTTCTTAATCTGCTTGTTTTGTATGAAATTGTTCAAGTAATAGGAAAGCATAATATCTGTAATGATTCTCTCCCTACTGAGATTTGAGTTTGAAATTGTTCAAGTAATAGGGTTTTAGATGAAGCGAAAAAAGAAAATAAAGACTTGGGAAAATTATATTAACCTCCCTTAAAGTCTCTTGAAATGTAAACAACACCCCCTTGCACTAATGGTCCGATGGGAATTATACTTTTTAAGCACCTGTATGTAGCGTCTCAAAAAATTCCAGTCACACAGCTGTCAGCATCCTTCTCCAGTGCCAACAAAGCACTAACCTCCCTTAAAGTCTCTTGAAATGTAAACAGCACCCCCTTGCACTAACGGTCGTTTGTAACCAATGGGAATTATACTTTTTAAGCACCTGTATGTAGCGTCTCAAAAAATTCCAGTCACACAGCTGTCATCATCCTTCTCCAGTGCCGACAAAGCACTAACCTCCCTTAAATTCTCTTAAAATGTAAACAACACCCCCTTGCACTAACGGTCGTTTGTAACCGATGGGAATTATGCTTTTTAAGCACCTGTATGTAGCGTCTCAAAAAATTCCAGTCACAGCTGTCATCATCCTTCTCCAGTGCCAACAAAGCACTAATTATCGACACCAAAACACTATTGATCACAATGTTGTCAATTTTTTTAGTTAAAATTTTTCTGACTTGTGTCAATTTTTTTTTTTTTAAGTTGAAGATATAGAAATGGCAGCAGCAATTAAGTTGATGCGCTGTGATTAGTTCTTTGCGAGCTTGTAAACAAGGAAGTTAAATTGATTGTATACCTATAAATAGAGTTTCTACAGCTATGGTTTATTTTATTGAAAATGCCAACTTTTATGAATTTAAAAACGGCAAAGGTGGGTGACCATTCCAAAATCATCATGTTGTCATTGTAAGATCATATTAATTGCTCAAAATTTTGTTTGGCAAATATATTCATTGAACTACTTCAATGGAAAATAAAAGAAAGGAACTGTTTTAAACATAAGCCGTTAAAAATATTAGCAGACACCGTGGGGGAGAAAAAAGAGTGATTAAATCAATGTTTCTAAAGAGTTATTGGGGAGAAAAAGGAGTGATTAAATCAATGTTTCTAAAGAGTTATTATGGAGTTGTAAATGACAAAAATGTTGTCCTGTTATTGTATTTTCAAGCATTTGATCTATATAATTGCTGGGATGTTGTTAATGATTGCAGTCTTGGTTAGTTTCCTTGCGTCTGTATAGAAGATGAACTGTGTTTCTTTAATGTGTATTTTGCTTTAACTGAATAATGATTTTTATGCAGCCTGGGTATTCACTTCGCACATTTACGGGGCATTCCGCATCTGTTATGTCACTAGATTTTCACCCAAATAAAGATGATCTTATCTGCTCTTGTGATGGTGATGGTGAGATACGATATTGGAGTATAAACAACGGAAGTTGTGTTAGAGTCTCCAAGGTAGAATCTTAATCAATTTATCTTTATTTCTACACACATCCTTTTGTAGCTTATGTATTAGAAGTGACAATGTATTCATTTCAATCTGCCGACAATCTTCTTGTTGCTTAGGGTGGCACTACCCAGATGAGATTTCAACCTCGTCTAGGGAGGTACCTTGCTGCAGCTGCCGAGAACATTGTGTCTATACTTGACGTGGAGACACAGGCATGCCGGTATTCATTGAAGGTTTGTTTGTAGTTCTACTCGAGAGTCAGGGTCGTCGAGTCATGCACTTTTATCTTAGTAATATAGTCAGAGTCTTAGAAATGAACTTAAAATATTAACTAATCATCTGTTGTTTTAATATCCTAATATGGTTTTAGGGTCATACAAAGACTATAGATTCTGTAAGTTGGGATCCATCCGGGGAGTTGTTGGCATCAGTGAGTGAGGACTCGGTTAGGATTTGGACTCTTGGAACAGGAAATGAAGGGGAATGCGTTCATGAGCTTAGCTGTAATGGAAGTAAGTTTCACTCATGTGTTTTCCATCCAACATATCCTTCACTGCTCGTCATCGGCTGTTATCAGGTAAGTCTTTATTTTCTCGTTGATATTGGCGTTATTTGTCATTTCCCCTACTCTAATATGCAACTAAGAAACACATGTTTGATAGTTGGTGTACATTTTTTGTGTAGTCAATGGAGCTTTGGAACATGGCTGAGAACAAGACAATGACTTTGTCTGCTCATGATGGTTTAATTACTGCCTTGGCGGTTTCAACTGTAAATGGTTTGGTAGCTTCTGCCAGTCATGACAAGTATATCAAGCTCTGGAAGTAAGTAACATGAAGTAACCGCGTCTCCAATTGACAATACTTGCGATACACTTAGGTTTCGATTAGTGTTTGATCACACGTTTTGTAGGTTATCTTTTGGACTTCTAAATCAACCTCCTTTGGGAGGTTTTGATTTTCTATAACTTTAGGTTCTAACCTATGTAATGCACTGCAAGTCTGCAATGTAGATAGTCTACCATGCTGTCACATCTTGTATCTAGTTGATCATTTACTTGAATATTGTGATATGTTGAAAGATTGTCTAACAAGTAACAACTAATTTGAGCTGAGACTTTTAGAACTATACAGTTATATCTAAGCGTGTATTTTTCCCATTTACAATACTCAAGCAGAGTCGGGTAGACTTTAGGTTCAAACTTGAGACTTTGCTGAAGGAGAATTAAACTAATGCAACTTAGACCGAATTAAGAAATTTAGTTAATTTTTCTTGGAAAAGAGAAATGATAAGCTGTTTTACAAAATTGTCATTCATTTAGGTATAAGAAACAATTTAAAGAATTGAAAACGAGAATAATGCAAAGTCAATGACATCTTAGAAAGAAAAGTTTAATATTTTCTTTGCTAGTTTTTACTTTTGTTTTATGAAGTGTTTTGAAGTGCTACCTAAATATTTAATTAAATTGAGGGGATCTTGAAAAGAAAGGCTTGTTTATGGTATTTTTATTTATGTCCAAGTCAAAAAGAAAAAGATTACATATGTAATAATCTCTATGACATCAGCATCATCTGTAAAAAAAAACATTAGCATCTAACAAGTGTTTTTTCTGACTAGGAAGAGATTCGAAGAAAACACTAATAAGCTTTAATGAGCAATCTAAGCTTCAACAAGCAATTTATGTTGTGGCTAAAGCATTGTTGGTGATTAACATCTCTCTCTATAAGAATGAACCACAACTACCTCCCATTGTAAATTCAATAAGTGAGGAATTTTTTATAAAACTTGGCCAGGCATACTAGAGGTGTATATGTGGAGTAAACTCACAATATTTGATCAAACTGTTCTAAAAAAAAATTGGGTTGGATTGAATTAGTGGGTTAGTAAAAAGAGGATTTTTTAACTACCACGTAAAATTATTTAAATTTTTTTAGATTTTGGAGATTCATCTTTGGATGCATTAAATTCTGAATGAACGTTAAAATATTTTGGATATGCATCTCCGTAACAATTTAAAATATACTGTTAAGAAATGTGGTTGAGCCTAACTTAACCCTACAAAATCGGTTGGTAGAGTGAGGATTGCTCCCACTTATTAACATATGTTCATGCCATATATTGTCCGATGTGAGACTCTTAACACCCCCCTCACACTCAGGACTGGACAACTGAAGCATGAAAATAAATGGTGGGTGGCCCGATAGCGAAAACCATAGAAGGTGGCCCACCGGATCCTAAACGAGACTCTTGATACCATGTTAAAATACAAGAGACTAAGAGACATGAATAAACCGTGTGTTTTGAAAAGTACTACAGAGACATTATTATATATAAATAGATTACAACTAATTACATAATATAGTCGATGTGGGACTATTCTATATACAAATATTCGTAACACTTTATATATATTTACAAATATCAACACTCCCCCTCAAGCTTGAGCATATAAGTCAAATGCACCAAGCTTGTTACATATATAGTTAGTTCTGAGGCTTCGTAGGGATTTTGTAAACACATCTGCCAATTGATCATTAGAGTTGACAAAGCTTGTGACGATGTCGCCTGACTCGATCTTCTCTCTGACAAAGTGACAGTCTATCTCAATATGTTTGGTCCTCTCATGAAAGACTGGATTTGAAGCAATGTGCAATGCAGCTTGATTATCACAAATAAGTGTCATTGGTCTTGCTTCTTCAATTTGAAGTTCCTTGAGCAACTGTTTTAACCAAATAAGTTCACATGTTGCCTTTGCCATCGCCCTATACTCTGCCTCGACGCTTGATCTTGCAACTACATTTTGTTTCTTACTTTTCCAGGATATAAGGTTTCCTCCAACAAGTACACAATACCCAGAGGTGGATCGTCTATCAATGGGTGACCCTGCCCAATCAACATCAGAGTATCCAATTATCTGGGTATGTCTTTTATCCTCATACACAAGACCTTTTCCTGGAGCACATTTGATGTATCTCAAAATCCGGATAACAACATCCATATGTTCCTGACAAGGGGAATTTAAGAACTGGCTTACCACACTGACTGCAAAAGAAATGTCCGGACGAGTGACTGTGAGATAATTCAACTTTCCAACCAATCTCCTATACCTTCCTGAGTCAGATAGAGGCTCCCCCTGATTGGGTAGTAGTTTAACACTTGGATCCATAGGAGTATCGACTGGTTTAGCATTTAACAAACCTGTTTCTTCCAAAATATCCATAGCATATTTTCGTTGAGAAATCACCAAACCATCTTTAGATTGGGCTACTTCAATACCCAAGAAATAACGGAGTTTACCAAGATCTTTTGTCTGAAATTGTTTCGAGAGATGTTGTTTCAACTGGAGTATTCCCTGCTGATCACTACCAGTTATGACAATGTCATCTACATACACAATAAGATAAATACACCCTTGGGGTGAGTGACGATAAAAAACAGAATGGTCAGCTTCACTACGGATCATACCAAACTGTTGTACTACAATGCTGAATCTGCCAAACCAAGCTCTCGGAGATTGCTTAAGACCATAAAGAGACCTGTGTAGCCTACAAACCATATTCGATGACTCCCCCTGAGCAACAAATCCAGGTGGTTTCTCCATATATACTTCCTCTTCAAGATCGCCATGTAAGAATGCATTTTTGATGTCAAGTTGATGAAGAGACCAATGTCGAATGGCTGCAATGGCTAGAAGAAGTCTAACAGATGCCATGCAGGCGAAAAGGTATCACCATAATCCAACCCAAAAATTTGAGTGTATCCTTTGGCTACCAAGCGAGCTTTAAATCGATCAATCTTGCCATCTGGACCAACCTTCACTGTATAAAGCCAACGACAATCTACTAAAGATTTTCCATGGGGTAGAGGAACCAGTTCCCAGGTACCACTGCTTTGAAGAGCACACATTTCATCAATCATTGCTTGCCTCCACTCAGGGTGAGATAATGCTTCACCTGGAGTTTTAGGAATAGAAACAGAAGACAAAGAAGACAAACAAGTATACTGCAAAGGGGAAAGACGATGATAACATAAATCAATATAATGTGGAGAAGGATTTCATGTTTGACGTATACCTTTTCGAAGGGCAATCGGAAGATCAGACTCAGGTTGCAGGATCGAATTCGGTGATGGCGAGAGCGTCGGAGGAGAGTCCATAGTGACCTCAGGGACAAGTACAACTTCAGGGACAGGTACGACAAACTTTGGGTGACGATGCTGATATGTTTGAAGTGGGCGAGGAATGGGGGGGGGGGGTCAACCGTAGGGGTAACTAGTGGGTCAGGTTCCCTAGAATGATGGGGGATAATGACAGATGGGACTTCCGGAAGAGGTGTGGGAATACTTTCCCGTAGAGGTTCTGTAGTTACTTGACTGGATTCGAAATATGGAACAGACTCGAAGAAGGTAACATCGGCAGATACGAGGTATCGTTGTAGGTAACATCTGGTGAGTGCAAATTTTTGGGCTTTTGTGTTCAATCCCCTTCAACCTTCCAGGTTACGACTGGCAGATATACCAATCTAACCCCTCAGGTTTCAGAAAATTGAACAGGGGCAGCTGTTGCACCCCAAAATTTGCCCTCACAATACAAGACTTTGTGTTCCAAGAAGGTTCACAAGGTTCACAAAATTCACAATTGGTCAGAAGAGTTGACAATTCCCTCAGACAATGCACCTCCTAAGCAGTGCATCCAAAACTAGGGTTTTGACTTTAATCAGGCTAAATGGACTTCCAAGACTTCAAGTGAATTTTGTGAACCTTGTGAACCTTCTTGGAACACAAAGTCTTGTATTGTGAGGGCAAATTTTGGGGTGCAACATATGTGAGTAGCAACAATAACCTTTTTGGGATCGATGATAGCCAAGAAAGACACATTTTAGTGATCGAGCTGATAGTTTATCAAGACCAGGGGAGAGATTGTGTACAAAACACGTTGACCCGAAGACTCGAGGAGGAATTGGGTGGAGTGGAGAGTTTGGAAACAGGATTGAATGAGGGATTTTATTATTAAGGACAGATGAGGGCATGCGATTTATGAGGTAACATGCTATGAGCACCGCATCTCCCCAAAACCGGAGAGGAACATTACCATGGAGAAGTAGTGTCCGAGTGGTTTCTACGAGGTGCCGATTTTTGCGTTCGGCTACCCCGTTTTGTTGGGGTGTATGAGGGCAAGATGTTTGGTGCAAAATACCATTGGATGACATAAATGTTTGAAATTGTTGGGATAAATATTCACATGCATTGTCACTTCTTAGGGTACGAATAGATAAACCAAATTGGGTTCTTATTTCTCGATAAAATTGTTCAAAAATAGAAAACAATTCAGACCTGTTCTTCATTAAAAATAACCATGTGCAACGTGAAAAATCATCAATAAAGGTTACAAAATACCTAGACTCAAAAGTAGACACGGTACGTGAGGGACCCCAAACATCGGAGTAAACTAAAGAAAAAGGGGACGCAACCCGTTTATTGACTCGATCGGAAAAGTGACTACGAGTATGTTTCCTTAACTGACAAGACTCACAATGTAAAGTGGATAATTTAGATAAATTGGGCACCAACTTTTGTAGCTTGGGAAGACCTGGATGACCTAATTGCGCATGTATAATGAGTGGAGAATCTGTGGTGGAGCATGTGGTAGATGACGTAGAGAAGTAGTAGAGGCCTTGAGACTCACATCCGACGCCAATCGTCTGTCCCGAACTCCGATCCTGCAGAGTAACATTACTATTAGTAAAGGTGATAGAACAATTAAGGGAACGAGTTAAACGACTGACTGACAGTAAATTAAATGGGCAATTAGGTACATAAAGGACAGAAGT